GGATAGAGAGCTAGAAACATCGATGAGAGAGAAACATCGACCAGCTGCCTCTTGCACACCCCTCACTGGGGATGTGCCCGCAACCAATGTACATTTCCTTGACTGGAATCGAACCTGGGACCTTTCAGTCCGCAGGCCGACGCTCTATCCACTGAGCCAAACCGGTTTCAGTCCTCATGTCCCTTTTTAAGTCAATCCCGCCACCTCCAGAGGCAACGACCTCCTGATCTATTCAATAGATTAGGTTTAACTTTATACTTTGTGTACATAGAATCACTAAGTACATATAGATTTTATTTTCTTATTTTTGTCAACAAAATGTGTTTGAGATTTATACAGTTATATTTATAAATAATTCTTTGTTTTCATTGCTGAATAGTATTCCACTGTAGATAGATCACAATTTGCTTATTCATTATTCTGATGGATATTGGGGTTGTTTTCTAGTTTGTTTGTTTTTTTATATAACAAGACTGCTATGTATATTTTTATGCAGGTCTTTTTAAATTTTTGTTTGGCAAGTATTTAGGAGTGAAATTTCTGGATCAGTGTCTAGTTAACTTGATTAAACTGACAAGCACATCTACGATTACCTTTGTGCCAAATCTTCCCCAATAATTAGTATTGTAAGTGATTAATTTTAGCATTCTGATAGGTATGCAGTAGTGCCTGCCGTGGTTTAAATGTGCAGTTCCCTAATGACCAATGTTGTGGAGCTTCTCTTCATGTGCATATTAGTCATTAGTACATCTCCTTTTACAAACATCTGTTCAGGTCTATTTTTTTCTTCTAGAAGATTTACAATTCTAGGTTTTACAGTTAGTTCTATGAACCATCTCAAGTCAATTTTTTTTGTATTTTTTTTTTTTTTTGTATAGTGGGAAGGAAAAGTCAAGATTATTTTCATTTCCCCATACAGATTTCCAGTTGTCACAACATCACTTGTTGAAAAAACCTTTCTTTCCCGATTTGACTGATTTTGTGATTGACAACTTTGTTGAGAATTAATGGAGTGCATCTATGGATGTGTGTGTGTGTGTGTGTGTGTGTGTGTGTGTACGATTCTGTTTTGTTCCATTGATCAATTCGTCTATACATATTCCAAACAATTTGTCTATACATATTCCAAACATATAATAAGATACCACAGTATCTTGATTATTATATGTTTATAACAAATCTTGAATTTTTTCTTTGTTAAGATTATTTTGGCAATTCTAAATCATTTACATTCCATGCACATCTTAAATTGGCTTGCCAATTTCATTTTTAAAGCCTGCTAGAATTTTGATTGGAATTGTACTACATCTATAAATCAATTGAGGAGACTACACAGATAACTTTTAAATATTGAGTTTTTCAATCCATGAACATGGTATAGCTCTCCATTTATTTAGGTCTTTGATTTCTCCCACAATGTTTTATAGTTTTCAGCATAGACGTCTTGTACACTTTTTGTTAGATTTATTTCTAGTATTTGATGTAGTTTTGGGTGCTATTTAAATGATACTGTTTTTCATTTTCATTTTTCAGTTGCTTGTCACTATTATATAGAAACAGATTATTCTTTACAATTGGTTTTGTACCTGTGGACTTGTTAAATTAACTTAATATAGTTGTTTTATGATAGATTCCATAGAATACCCATATACACAGTCATGTTAGGTATGCATATATACATCTTTCTTTTAAATCTTTTTGCCTTTTTCCCCCTCATTAAACAGTGTAAATAGTCACCAGAGGTCATCAGAGCAGATGTCTTTTCCTGTTTCTGACCTTAGAGAAAGTGTTCAGAGTCCACCATTAAGGGTGATGTTACCTCTAAGTTTTTCATATAATAGATGTCCTTCATCAGGTTGAAGCAGCTCCCTTTCTTATTTTGTTGAGATTTTGTGTCATGAATGAACACTGAATTTTGTCTAATTCTTTTTATACATTATTGATACGATCATATGATTATCTCCTTTAGTCCAATCATTGTTCTTACATATTTTTTTCTTTTCTAACATATGTGTTTAAAGCAGTAAACTTCCCTCTCAGCACTGCTTTAGTTGCATTTCATACACTTTTATTTTGGATTGTCATTATCATTCAGTTCAAAACATTTTTTATGTTCTTTTGTGATTTGATTCTTATGGATTATTTACAGGCAGTTTCCTTATTATCCCATTTTTGTCACGTGTGTTATTTCATGATGATGAAAATGTCCTTTTTATATCTGATCATACTCCTTGGCTTGAAGTCTGTCTGGTCTAATATTAATAAAACCATGCCAGCTTTTTCATGCAAACGCTTTCTATGCTTTATATTTAAAGTTTTATATGAAAGCATATGTCTTTTTAAAAAATGCTGCCTGACATTCTTTGTCTTTTCATTGAGCAGGTTGTCCATTTATATTTAACTGACCACTAATATAGTTGGGTTTAAGTCTGCCATCTAGGTATTTATACTCTTTTAGTCCTGTCTACTCTTTGTTTCTCTGTACCTCCTTTTTGCCTTTAGTGAATTGCACACTTTTAGTATTTATTTTTATTCCCTCTGTTAATATTTTTAAAGCAATAACTCAGTGATGGTGGTGACAGTGGTAGTGGTATGTGCTTTGGTTTTCTTTAAAAAAAAAAATACTTAGAGCTTTGTAATTCAACATAATAGTCACTAGCCCCATATGGCTATTTAACTTTTAATTAATTGAAATATGAAAAAAAAATATGTCCCTGGCTATAGTGTGGAGAATGGGTTGAAAGGACCCAGGAGTAGAAACAGGAAGGTAAGTTAGGAATTGTCTCAGAAACAGTGGAAAATTTTTGTGAGATACTAGTAATAGAGTTTAAGAGAGATGGTAGGATTGAAAGATACTAGGGAGGGAGAATCAACTAGAGTGGCTAAAAAATAGAGTGTTTAATGCAAGAGAAGGGGAAGGGAGAAGGTCAAGTAACTCTGAAGATTTCTATTTTGATCAAGCAAAGGAATGATGGTGCCATTACGGGAGGGAAGCAATATTTGGAGGAATATGAAGAAACCTTGAGAGTCAGAAGTTTGCAGGGATTTCAAAGTAGAGATAAGTAATAGGCAGTTGGCTGTATGGGTCAAGAATTTTGGAGAGATAGAGCAGAACATTTTCATGTTTTTAATATAAATATTGATGGTAGTATTATAGAGTAAAAATAGAACTCGTGGGATCGCCAACATTTCAGAGTAAGAGAAAAGCCTAGGTAGAGCTTCTAGATAGGGGAAAGGAAAAATGGGAATGGGTATGTCATTGAATACAAGGGAATGGAGAGTTATGAATGAATATGAAAGATTTTATAGACAGATGCTATATAAATACTTGAAAACTTGGGTTAGATTCGCTTTTTAAAGAAGCAACAACGTGCTTTGAAATTGTTCAATGCTTTTATCTTTGAGACTTCATTCATTCATTGCCTTTATCTTTCAGTATTTTATTTTTTAAAATAGAATTTTATTGATTTCAGAGAGGATGAGAGATATAGAAACACCAATGATAAGAGAGAATCATTATCGGCTGCCTCCTGCACGCCCCTCACTGGGAATCAAGCCCACAACCTGGTCCTGTGCCCTTGACTGGATCCTCCAGTCCTCAGGGTGACGCTCTATCCACTGAGCAAAACCAGCCAGGGCAGTATTTATTTTATCTTGGCTGTGTACCGGGTACTCTCCTGGGATGGGAGGCCTAGAGATGAAGAAAAGTTTCTGTCATAGTCTTTCTGTAAAAGGAAGGCATGCAAAAAAATAATGAGAATACACAGATCTAAAAGTCTGTAAGGAAAAGAAGTTGCTGGAAGCACTGCAACAGGCCGGCAGGAAGAACACCCACCCTCTGGGCCTCTCACGTGCTCACGCTCTCTTTGCAGGGCTGGCCCTTCCCCTGCTCCTCCCAGGTGGCCATCAAACTCAACTCAGCACTATTCCAGAAGCCTCCTTTAACTTCCTTGTTTGTTTTAGTCTTAGGAAAAGTGATGATGTGTATTGGACAACATATCTCTAAACCAATCACTAAAAAAAGAGAGGAAGAGAGGGAAGGAGGGAGGAAAAGAGAATCAAAATGGAAAAGTAATATTTTCATGATTAAAAAAAAAAATTGGAACATGAGAGAAAATATAAGGAAATTCACCCAGGGTCCCATCACCTGGAAATAAATAAGTAATCCAGATAGATCCTTCTTGGTTTTTATATAAAAAGATAGATTGAAATATTTTTACATAATTGGAATCATACTATATATATGCTATCTTAAGTGTTAAGTGCTCAATTTCACTTTTAAAAGAATAGTGTTAAAAATAAAAAGACAAACCACATAAAAGGATTCTTTATGAGAGATTAATTACCAAAAAAATCCATCTAACATTTCATAAAATACTGAAGCTTTGGTGATTTTTATAAAGCTGTACGTTGCTATATACCGTATTTTACTTCTTAACAGCGTAATAGGGCTCTGCTGCGAGTGATGAAGAATAACACCTTCAGTTTTTTTTCCTCTCCCCCAAGGCACCCTGGTTTCCAGTGGTAACACATCTCCTTTCTGTAACATAACCCATGCCTCTGTGCATATTCTGCTCAGTATTCCAATGGATGCCGCTCTCGCCATCCTCTGCGCCATGGTCTCTGGCTCCTCCATCCTTAGTGACTAGATTTCACCATCAAGCAGGCCTCCTAGGAAGGACCCCAGTCGTCCCTGAAGCCCCCTGCACTGTCTGTCTGTCACCTGGAGCATTTGAATGACCTCTTGGGTCACGCGTCCTTTCCCCTGAACCTGTGGCGTGTCTCCTCTGTCCGTTGTGTTAAACCAGGTTTTTCCTCACCGCTCCAGTTTCCCCCTTTTCTTGAATCAACACGGCAGTTTTCAGAGAACATACGTGAGTTTTTGCCTCTTCCCCGGCTGCCCTGGGAGGACGACTCCCGGGAAGGCCCGCCGCTGTGCTGCTCAGGCCTGGCCGGGGCATCCGGCAGTGTTAACCGTGCATCTCTGTTCTCCTCCGCAGAGATCATCGACGACCTTGCCAACCTGGTGGAGAACACCGATGAGAGGCTCCGCACCGAGACCCGGCGGGTGACCCTGGTGGACAGGAAGTCGACGTCCTGCGGTGAGTGAGGGTGCAGTCAGGGTGCCGCCTCTGCTTGGGCCTCCCCGCGTCTGTCTGATCACCGCGGGTCTGGCTGCGCTTCAGCAACGGCAGCCCCATCCGAGGAGGCACAAACCGCTCACCCGGGTCTCGCCCAGCTGAAATGAGTTGTTACGAGTTCGGGGGAAGTAAAAAGTATTAATTTTTTACAATCTGAAAGAAGGAACCTCTGTGTGGGCTTATAGAGAAGAATGGCTCGGGAAGCTGTGTGCCCTTGGTGCGGATTGGTGACGGTGGAGCTCTGGGTTTTCAAGGCAGTCTCGTTCACGGCCGCGCCTCGTTTTCATGGAATCAGAGCTTAACTGGTGAAGGGAGAACTGCTGAGCAGATATTACGAGCCCAGCTTCCGAAGCTCCCGTGAGCTCAAATCCTGTACTTGGTGATGTTATCTTTGGCAATCATTTTACTCCTTAATAAATACCTTGTAAGTGAAATGGTGGTTCACATGCCAAGATGAGGGTCACTCGGAGTGATTTCAGGGCTGATTCCCAGCCCCCCACCCCCAGAGGTTCTGATTGAGTAGGCCCAGGCCAGAGTTCAGGAGCGTTGGCTATGTAACAGGAATGCAAGCAGTTCTGATGCCCGTACTTGCTGCTCTGCGAGGTCCCGATGCAGATTTCACACGGTTTACGTTACACGCGGCCTGTGTCCCGTGCCTTGCCAGACCCAGGCCGGTGCTGACCCGCGGTGGGGGCAGTGGGAGCAATCACAGTGACTGCCGCCGGGGCTCCATCCCACAAAGGTGCACCAAGTGTGTCGAGCTGATGCTTTTATTGTCAATAGAAATACAGCAAGACAAACAGCTATTGATTCGAGGACATGCTTAGCCTAATTTGTAGCCCTTTCAACACGAGAAATACAATGGATCCCTCTGATCTACCTCATTTTAGAGCAGAGACCTCTGTGCAAGGGTCACCTGGGCTCCACCGTGAGAAGCATGGCGTCCACCCCGTGTTACTTGTGGTTAAGCAGACGTCTAGCTCAGGCCGAGGCAGGACCAGGCAGCTAGCGACTCAGAACCTCAGAAGAAGGGAAACTGAGGGGCTGACCTACTTCCCTCACCCCTCAGTTCTCATCCCTCAGACATCAACCCTCTCTGTGCTTCTGTTCCTGAGGCATTAGTTTCTTTCTTCCTTCGAGAAGTCCAGCCTCCTCCACTGCCTCCCCAGCCTTCTCACATAACTCCTCTGCACGTGACCCTGACACTTGGGAGGAGAGAGGTGTGGGCTCACTCCCACCTGCCTCTCTCACTCTCTCCAACTTCTGTACAAACATAATCCCGCTGAGCCTTGGTTTCCTCAGCTATAAAGAAGTGGAAGATTTGATTATCAGAATGAAACCGTATAGCATCTGGAGCCTGCGTAACGCTGCCTCTCTTCCCCCAATTCCCCTGTCTGTGTAGAGAGGCCCGAGGGCACAGTGGGTAGCAGGCTCCAGAGCCGGAACGTGCACCCAGCTTTGCTGCTCACCAGCTGGATGCTCACCTTTGCCTGGGGCTTCTCATCTTTGCAATAGGAATGAGAGCGTTGTTGTAAGAAAGAAATGAATTAATATAGATAAAGATACAAGTTATGGCTCATCTTGAGATAGAGGATACAGAGACAAATATCTAGATATACTAGAGGCTCCGTGCATGAAAATCGTGCAAGAGTAGGCCTTCCTTCAGCCGGCTGCCGGCACCAGCTTCCCCTGGCATCCAGGACCCGGGCTTCCCTCAGCGCCCCGGCTTCGTCCAGAAGGACGTCCAGAAGGATGTCTGGTCTAATTAGCATATTATGCTCTTATTATTGTAGATCACTTAAAGCAGTGTTTGGCACATAGTAAGCAACGAGCAAGTATGAGGCATTATCATTATGTCTGAAGGAGGAAGACTCTTCCCAGTTGAGGGATAACTTTCCTAAGTTGTTTTTTATCTGATGAGCAATCATGTTGCTATTATTTCGGAAAGAACATATTCATCGATAAGTCGATAAGTTTTATATTTGCAATGTAGTGGCCTCAGTATACGCTGTTCATAGAGTCACAATGAAGAATGTTACTTCTATTGTTGCCACCTTTTAAATTTATGGTATTACCTAGTGTTAGTTTTTATAACCAAAAATTTCCATAAAACCTTCTGAGCTGGACTCTGTTTCATTTTTTTTTTTTTTTAAATAGAAGAAACTTAGAGACTCCTAGAATTACTGAAATGCATGTGTATGTTTTCAAAACTTGGTATCTTAAAAATATGTTAACTGCCAAGACTGGTTTGGCTCAGTGGATAGAGCGTCGGCCTGCAGACTGAAGGGTCCCGGGTTCGATTCCAATTAAGGGCATGTACCTTGGTTGCGGGCACATCCCCAGTGCGGGTGTGCAGGAGGCAGCTGATCGATGTCCCTCTCTCATCGATGTTTCTAGCTTTCTGTCCCTCTCCCTTTCTCTCTGTAAAAAATCAATAAAATATATTTTAAAAAATATATGTTAACTATAAATTTATCTTATGCCTCATTTGTATTTAGTAATTTGTTATCTAGGAGGTATATGTTATATTTAACATATGTTATCTATAACAAAACTACATGTAGTGACTCAGAGGGAGATGCAACAGGACAGCAGTGTCAGGTACCGAAAGAAAACATTTCTTTATTCTTCCATTGGAAATACTTTAGAGATTTGCTTCTCGTATCCCTTCAACTTTTTCCCTAATATTTACTTAGCAGCTCCATTAATGTTGTAGATCAACACCGCATAACTACCCCTCTACCATTTCTGGTGCCTGATACCTCTAAAGGAAAATGTTCTGCCCTTGTATTTTTAAAGGAAACGTGTAATTATGTTTGTGCTTGTTGACATGCAGTGCAAGTTTTCCCACAATCCTGCAGGTTCAGCATGTGGCCTCCGGAGCTCTAGGGGGGTCAGAATTGTATTTATGACACCCAGCAATTAACTTCTGAGACTTCCATCGGTCAGTATTAAGCCTTTGAACACAGGGCATGTTGTGGGATTTGCTGAGTAGGTCTAGCAGCCCTTGGCAAAATTAGCCAGACCTTTTAGTATTTAAAAAGTTTGTTTTATTGTGGTAAAATATACATACCGTAAAATTTACCATTGCAGCTATTTTCAGTGCTAAGCACATTGACATGGGTGTGCCAACATCACCAGCATCGTCTCCAGAACTTTTCACCATCCCAAACTGGAGCTCTGTCCCCATTAAACACTTCCCATGGCCCCTGACAATTACCACCCTACTCTCTGTCTCTATTCTGAGACCCTCTGTAAGTGAAATAACACAGTATCTATCCTTTGAATCTGGCTTATTTCACTGAGCATAATGTCTTCAATATTCCTCTACTTTGTAGCACGTGTCAGAATCTCCTTCCCCTTTTTCTAAAGCTGGATAATGTTCCATTGAATGTATATACTACATTTTGTTTGTCCGTTTCTCTGTCAGTGGACTCTGTCTGTTGTGAATAATGCCACTGGGAACATGCGTGCTCTGGGATTGGGCCAAGCCTGTATTCTGTGCCCACACGCACACGTGGAGGTGCTGCATCAAATGGTGTTTCATTTTTCTGAGGAACCACCGTAACCTGACCTGTTGTGTTGCTTCCAGCCTCTAAACTCTCAGGTACTGCCTAGGGCAGTGGTCGGCTAACCGTGGCTTGCGAGCCACATGGGGCTCTTTGGCCCCTTGAGTGTGGCTCTTCCACAAAACACCACATGCGGATGTTCATGTACAGTGCGATTGAAGCTTCGTGGCCCATGCGCCGAAGTCCATTTTTGGCTCTCAAGAGAAATTTCAATCGTTGCACTGTTGATATTTGGCTCTGATGACTAATGAGCTTGCCGAACACTGGCCTAGGGTCTTATTTTCTTCATCTGATAGAGCCCTGTTGCAGGCAGGAGTCAGGGACTTCCACAGCCCGAGAGGGGCAGGCAAGCAGAGTAAAAGTGAAGTCCCCGGGCTCACTCCAAACTGGAAATGTTATAGATGATGATGATGATGATGATGATGATGATTGGGCCCCAAAGAGCTACTCCCTGGGATAGAAATATACCAGAAGGAAACTTGCCTTTGAGAACTGGAGAGAAGGCAGCCTTGGCACTGAACACAAGAGAAGAAAAACAAAGGAAAAGCCTACATTCCCTGACAGGTGTGGCCCACAAGGCCCTCCTCTGGTTTGCACCCTGGGTATCCTTACTCAGCACACCTCCTACCCTGAGTTTCTCACCTATAATAGCTCCAGGCACTTGGCAAAAACAATGAAATGCCTCTTCGAAGAGAGGCATATTTATACTCAGTCCCTAGGATTCAACCAAAAAAAAAAAAAAAAAAAAAATTCCAGGGCAATGACCAGCACACAATCAAAGATACCTACAATATATGGAACAGAACAACACGGGCCAGGACCAGCCCCAGCACCAGACCACAGAAACCTGTCCGCACAGACTTGCAGTGCCCGATCCTCAGACACAATGCTAACATCCATTGTGCTTACCATATTTAAAGAAAGAAATGACAACCTTGCAAGGATCTTCAGTGAAGAGGAGACTATAAAGAGTGACAGAGAACGTTTGAAAAGGGACCAAGTCGAACGTCTAGAAATAAAAAATAACTGAAATTAATAACTCACTGGACATGTCTCAGACCCACTGAAGAGGGCAGCAACCAGAGAGATCGGAAAAGGATGACCCAATAGCCCCTTTCCTTAGTGCTGGCATTCACAAGAGGAGAGCCAGATACCACGGAAGTCCAGTATGGTCTTCATAAGAAAGGCGTTTGGGGGCAGGGGCTTGGTCCAGGAGACTCAAGACAGAGCAGGGAGTTAATCACCTGCTTTTCCCAAAGTGCAAGCCCAGATTCATCGTCTCACATGTGAACACATTCATATACACACATGATACTGCAAACAAGAGAGATCTTAGCGATTTGGGCCGAGACCGGTTTGGCTCAATGGATAGAGCGTCGGCTTGGGGACTGA